CMARGRAAAATTGAACCACGAYTYSCCGTCACSTCGATGAGCAATTCCAGCTGAGGGAATCACAGCAACCCCAAAASGTGGCAGCTCCGAGGTCAATCTCATTCTCACCCCAGAATTTCTGTGCCTGGAGCTCTGGGAACATTCAGCCCCAATCATGTCATATCTAAAGGTCACTTGGAAGCCTTGGGATATCTTTCACACTCATTTATTCTGTAATTATTTTATATATTCATTTTTTAGTTATTTAAYATAATTAAAATTTTTATATATGTTTTTATTCATACATATATTATTTACTTTATRTATTTATTTTTTTATAATTATTTGATATTAAAGGGCTTTCTCTAGAGAGGTTAAATAGAGACCAAGGCAGATGCGCAGTGCAAGCCCTCAAGCTTAAAAACTCTGAATTAATTCTACATAAATTCCTTAAATTCGGGTTTAACTGGGAATGCAGGCAGGCCCCAATGCAGGGAGCTGGGAAAAAAGGAGTCAAGTTTCCTATGGTGAGGGGATATTCCTTGGAAATTGTCTGCAACATTGTTAATCATAATTATTGAACATCCTTGGAAAAAAATCCCAACTTAAAGCTGCTCTTATAGTATAATATACAAAATAAATAATATAAAATAATGCAACTGGCAGGTCAGGCTGATTAAATAATTCCCATGAGGATAAAGCAGCAATTTCACTGTTCCAGGCTCGTTTTCCCTAATTCCATGCTGGTTTTCCCTAATTCCAGGCCATCTCAAAGCAATCCCATTCCTAAGGATCCTGGCTTTTTCCAGGCTCCAACTGAGCCAGGACAAACCAAAGCTGTTCTTCAAGGGAATCCTGGTGGGAATGAAGGGGAATTCRGCTCCTGGAATTCTGCTTCCATGGTGCCAGGGAGGGATTTTGGCTCCCAAGTCCCTCCAGCAGCCGACTGAACGTTTTTGGGAATCCTTCTCCTCACCAGATCTTCTGCAGCCAAAGCCCTCTGGATTTATGGAGGTTCCTCCTCCTTGCTTCATTCCTGGACTGTCCCGTTTTCCAGGATATTCCACTGTCCACAGAATCATCATGGAAAGGTTTGGGTTGGAAGGGAATCTAAAGATGACCCCATTCCCACCTCCCACTATCCCACGTTTTTCCAATTCCCATCCAACCAGKCCTCRGACATTCCAGRGATCCAGGGGMAYTCTGGGAATCCAAAGACAGATCCTTCCTTTAAAAGTTTAGGATCCCTTCCCATCGCATCCAGGTGAGAGGAAAAAATTCCTTTCAGACTCCTGCAACATTCCCACATTCCCTAATTCCATCCCAACCTCCTCCCACTCACAGATSACCACCAGGAAACTCCGGAAGCAGAAGGTGACGGAGCAAAGAGTCTCCAGTCCTGAGCTTAATCCAACAAAGGAATTCCCAGTGCAATTCTCCATGGAAAACAGCAAATTATCGGGATTTCGCGGAATTGAAGTCCGAGATGATGTTACCCCCGCACTTTAAATGGATTTASGAAACAAAACTKGYTYTMAAYGGGGATGAATTYGATCCCTTGTGCTGGGAATGCTGCRAATCCACTTCATTCCAGATGRGATGTGATCGAGGAGTGAAGAATCYCACAAATCAYGCGYTGTTATTCCARTAAATCCATTCCATSCTGAACGGGAGGTGTTTGGAGARGGAGGAATCCMACAAATCACACTTTATTATTCTGACATCACACAATTCCAAGTGGAAAACGAAGCTGCTCCATGGAATATCCATAAAATCCTTCACAAACTGAAAATTTGGGAAATTAGAATTTGAAGGGAACAGCAGTGGGGTCAGAMCCCACMTCWAYCAGGGCAGAATAGGGCACTTTGTCYKAAAAAAACCTTCACAAAACAAAGATTTTTKAGAATCTCAGCACCAAYTTTTGCCTCAAATTCCACTTTTAAYGCCCAAAAGGCCACCATGGTGYGGTTGCACCTTCTCTTACACTCCCAAGGATCCTACAGGAACATTCCCAGAATTTCTGAAACTGGAAAATCCCTTGAGATAAGAGTCSAWCCACAYCCCCAGCACTGCCAAAGCCACCTCCAACCACCTCCCTYCCTCCCAGAGACAAAAACGAGGCCAAATCTGTCAAATTCTGATGCTGCCCCCAAACCCCACGTCACGGACACCCCACTGACCCTAAATCCAGGAGATTTAGGCCAGGCCTGTTTCCAAGTTTTAAAACTACTGATTTTCCATAAATAACTATGGATGCAGGTGGGAGATACCGAAACTTGTGATTCTGAACAGCATCCAAGACAAAAAAACACTTTCAAYGGTATCAAAAGTGCGTAAAAGTAACATTCAGGATGGGATTTTGGGTACAAAAGAGCTGAAAAATTTTCTAGCCATGTTTGGCTTGGATTTCATCCAAATTTTCAATCCAGGGAATTTGAGTTTTCCAATGTTTGGCACATCCAGGGAAAAGCTGAGATGGAGGGATGATGTTTGGATCATATTCTGATGGTGGAAACCTCTCTGTTTTGTACTCCAAGGTCAGGAATGCACAGGAATTCTCTTCCTATGGGCAACGTGGGATGGTGGGATCCAAAATGAATCATTCCAAGAGCAGATTTAAAGGATTCATGGAAAACAGCAGCTCAGCTCCACCAACCTGAACAGCCTGACACAGGAACTCATCCTTCTGACATGGTTGGAATTTTGTCTTCAGGTTCTTCAAGTGTGGGCCAAAGGGAAAGTTTTCCTCATTTGGCATCTTCATCTTCATCTTGATCCCATGTTGGTTCTTGCTATCACAGAATCCTGGAATGGATTGGGTTGGGAGGGACCTTGAATCTCAACAATTCCACCCCCTGCCATGGGCAGGGCCACCTCCCATCATCCCAGGTGGMTCCAACCCCAATGTCCAGCTTGGCCTGACACTGCCAGGGATCYGGGGSAATCTGGSAATTCCAGCCCAGCCCCTCGCCACCCTCCCAGRCAGGAATTCCTTSCCAAKATCCCASCTAAATCTCCSTTTTTTAATTTGAAGCCATTCCCTGTGTCCTGTCCCTGCAGCCCTTGGCCCSAGTCCCTCTCCAGCTCTCCTGGAGCCCCTTCAGGCCCCAAAAGGGSCTCTGAGCTCTCCCTGTGTCCTTCCCTTCTCCAGGGGAACATTCCCAGCTCTCCCAGTCTGGCTCCAGAGCAGAGGGGCTCCAGCTCTGAAGCAGCTCCAGGGCCTCCTCTGGATTTGCTCCAGCAGCTCCACATCCTCCTTATGRACCCCAGGGCTGGGGTCTCACCTGAGCAGGGCAGAATTCCCACCTTTCTTGCTGCCCAGGCTGTGGGATCAGCCCAGAGCYTCTCATCCACCAACACTCTGAGTCCTCCCAGCGCAGCTCCCATCACCGTCTCCACATCTTGGACCTGTGCTGGGATCGTCCTGACCCAGGTGCTCCTGCCCTTGCTGAACCTCACAAGGTCGGGATGGTGTCACCTCTGCCATCAATCCAGGTGACGCCATCCCATCCCTCCAGGGGTGATCCCACTGCAGAGCTTGGYGTCACCTTCACCTTGCTGAGGGTGACCGATCCCAGCATCCTTGTCACCGGTGGAGATGTTGAATGGTGCAGATTCCAATCCCAATCCGTGCAGAACTGCTGACCACAACTGTGCCCATCCACCCATTCCTCCATCCATGAAATCCTTTTCCAGGTCACAGGAAGCACTGCCGTGTGGGACAGCATTAAAAGTCCGCATCACCACTCATCAGAAATCACTGGTGACTCTTCCAAGAGCTCTCCATGAGCACCAGGGTCATCCAARGTCCCATCCAGGATGGGACAGGGAATGTCCAGGTCACCTCTGACCACCCAGCAGAGGCAAAGATAACTGGATTTGCAGAACTGCAGAACTGGGATTAAGAGGAATTATTTGTTGTCTGGAAATCACTGATACACCGGATGAACATTTCTTCAACAAATCTGGATTTTTGAGATTAAAAAACCCCAAAACTCTTCTGGTTCTTCAGCGCCAGGGCTGGTCCTGTGTGGACTGCTGTGTCCCTGGGAGCAGGTGACGCAAACACTTCCCAAAGGACTTTTAGAAACACCATTCCCTGTGTTTTCCCAAGTCCCCTCAAATGAGGGAAGAATTCCCATCTAAACTCATCCCACTTTCCCAAACTGCTTTTTCCTTTTATGAACACACCCCCACATTTGCTGTCCTGTTCAGTTTTATCTGTTTTTACATGAAATCATCCTTCCCCTCCCATTTCCAAGCTGCCCATCTACCCAGCCCTCGATGCTTCTCAGGGAAAAGGGTTTGGGAATTGCTGTTTGTTTTTCCCTAACGYGGCCATCCCCATTTTCAGTCAGTTTTTTAATTCACAGTACAAACAGAGCCTAAAATCTCCAGGATTTTGCCAGATTAGAAAAACCCCTCCCCCACAGCCGTTCCACACTTTGCTCAAAGTGTTTGTTGGCAGTTGCAACATAGTAAATAATTATTAATTAATTATTCCATTATTTTAGTGTCACATTTCCCCTTATTTTTCACGTACCAAACYTTGGGCTTTTCCAGGAAAACCCACAGCTTTCCAAACGATTTTTATCTCCTAATATACACCATTTTTCCCCTTTTATTATTTTTCTTCAAGGCTGCAACTGWGGTTTCCTTCAGAGCTGGGATGAATGGATGCATTTTTCGTGTGTCCCTCTGAGCCAGCCTCTGGAATATTCAGTGTTGTCACACAGGCCATATTTGRGAGATGAAATTTTGGATTCTAAATGGACTCTTTTGTTTTCAGGCAGAGTYTGGAGGAGGGGGGAGGGGGAAAGAACACATGGACATCGCACCCACCCCAAGCCATGATTTTTGTCCCCCACACGACACTAATAYTTCACTCCGCTGCTCGAGGTTTTGTTTTGTTGTTTGAAACCTGCTGCAAAGCCAGAAATCACTTTTTAATATTAAAAAAAAAATATATAAAAGCATCAAAGCGTCAATCAAGCAACTCTGAAATGCAACTGGAAGCAGAAYACGCCGTTACAGTCATTTCTAGCACCATTCCCAACACATCAACACTCAAACTGGCGACCAGCATCCCAAATCCACAGAATTCCCAGGAAAACAATCTGCCCCGGAAACAGGACGCCGGCAAAAGGCGCCGAGTACACAATCTTAGGGAATAATCTGGGTTTAAAGCCACTCACCTTCATATGAGTGCATTCAATGTTACACAGAGAACACAAATGTGGGAATATTCGCGGCGACGTGGCATAGTAGTCGTTCATCATGGACGGGGTGGGCAGGCGTTTGCTCTTCTGGGAATCCGGGAACACGGGCAGCCAGGACGCCTTGACCACCCCGAACGGGGATTTGATGGGCTCATCGGCCTGTGACTGGAAAGGTTTGTGTCCCGCCGYGGAGCCGGCGCTGGGCTGGGAGCTGCCGGTCTCGCGCTGCTTGCGCTCGTGCTGGCTGATGGCGGCCAGGAGCCCGGCCGAGAAGGGCGGCGACGTCAGCGGCAACACGTGCTGGGACACGGGCGGCTGGACCAGCGGCGGCATCACCGGGGGCATTATAGGCTGCGGCAGCGGCGTGGGCAGCAGCGCCGGCACCATGGGCGGCATSACCGGCGGCAGAGGCGGCTGGGCCACCGGCTTCACCGCCGGCGGCGTGGTGCCGCACAGCCCCGGCACCTTGGCCGGCGGCTCGGCGGGGAAAAACGACGGGGCGGGCGACGAGTCRCTGGGGAAGGTCGGCAGCTTGATGAGGTCTTCTGCTGGGAACACGGGGTTGCACGGCACRCTGGGCGGCGGGACGGCCACCGGCACGCTCTGCTCCCGCTGGAATTCTTCCCGGTTCTCCGCATTCGATGGCTCAGGGTTGTAGACGCGTGCTTCCAGCGGCTCCTCGGGCAGCGCGTCGGGGCCGTAGGTGCGGATCTCCAGCGGGTCCTCAGTGTAGCCGTACTTGCTGGCGTGGCCGTAGTCGATCACTTTGCTCTTGACGGTGGTGGTGGTGCTGCTGCTGTCGCCCCCCGGCTCCTCCCCGCGGCTCGGAGGGTGCAGGCTGGGCACGGCGTGGCCCAGCTTCCGGATGCGGATCTCGCGCAGGATCCGCGGCATGTTCTCYGGTGTCAGCTGGTCATCGGGGTAGCGGCTCAGCTCCTCCAGGTCTTCATTGGACAGCCCAAAGCTCGCTAAAATGCTGGAGGCGCTCTCGGGCGTGTAGCGGTTCTGCGGGTTGGAATTCTGCTCCAAGACCGGCGCCGGGCCGGGCGGCTTTGGCCCACTCGTCCCGGCAGGGCAGGGGCCGTTGTCCCAGCGGTTGGCGCGAGGGTCTCCCTTCGGCTCCTGGTGCAGGTTGCTCTTCTCCTTGACTTTCCTGGGATCGGCCCTGTGCAGCGTGACGCGGACGTTGATCCTCTGCGAACCCGTCCATTGCAGCGCGTCCTGCCCCGAGAATCGCTGGGGCGCTGCCTGGGGCGTCGCGGGCGAGGGTTTCCTCGGTGGCCCCGCTGCGCCACCAGGCCCGAAGGTTCCCGGGGGTTTGGTGCCCGACGGGTTGGGTCCTCTGGGCCTYGGGGGCAAGGTTCCTCTGGGGCTAAACATTGCGTCTTTCAGCAATGYCTGGCGGAAGCCAGCATGGGGAGGTGCCGGCCCGCCGCTGGCAGCCGAGGGCAAGCGCCGGAGAGCCAAGTGGGTCTTAATTTGGGCAAGCTGAAAAGGAGGAGGGCCCAACACAAGGGGGCTGGCAAGGCCAAGGTTCAGGGAATTCACAAGTGGTGCGAAACTTTCCAAGAACAACACAAAGCTGCAAGTTAAAAGACAAGGATTAGATGGGTCATCTTTGTCATCCGCGCACGGCGGCTTCTATGACGGTGAGAAAAGCAACCCGGGGTGYGAACCCGGGGTTTTTGTGACAGCTYAGAGGACTCAAAATTCACAAAAAAAAACGTTTTCTTGCACTGAGTAAAAAAATCTTAAATAGARAGAACAGTGATTAAATCAACAAGCTTAACCCAACAAGTTCAACGTCACGGGGAACATAACCAGCGGTGACATTTGCAACAGCATTAGTTAAAACCTGGCATTTCGCTTCTTTGTGACAACAGTTTGGGTTTAATTACAATTAATTTTAGGAGCAGTAAGGCAAAGCATGAAACCTCCCCCCGTGTGCAAAGGCTGACGAGGGATGAGTTGGAAGMGAGAGCATTTATGTGGAGAACTCAAACCAGTTCCATCTCGGTGGAGCTGAGCCGAGGCCGGAGCTGTTTCCAGGAGGACACTCCCATGCCGGCTCTCGTGGGTGAAGAGCAAACCCTGCAAGAATTCACAGGGTGGGACGAGGCTGGAATTCTGTGGACAGGAAATATCCAATCTCCCAGATGTTAAAAGCTTAAATCGAGAGGGCTTGAAACACAGAGAGGTGTAAAATTGTACAGCGACAAAAAAAATCTACATATATCAAAGAGCACCATGGCCAAGGGAAGTGGGGCTCGGTTTGGGTGAAACCATTGAGAATTGGGTCCTGTGAGGTGGGAAAAGAAGGTACAAATACAGGGAGAGTGAAATGAGACACCAGAGAGTTGTGGAGAGAGAACCAGAGAGGGGTGGGTTGGAAGGGACCTCAAAGCCCATCTCATTCCATCCCCTGCCATTCCACACYTCCCATTATCCCAGGYCKCYCCAAGCCCYGTCCAACCTGGCCAAGGATGAAGATTGAGACAAGAAAAACAACAAAACAGTGGCAAAGTCCTCATGCAGCTCCTCGGGGACACTGGTAATTCAGGATTTAGGGCGATGACAAAGCAACAGCCACAACAGCAGCRCGTTCCCAGCACCATCCTCATTCCCAACCCCAAACACAGCACTGCCATGGCAGCAACTGGGAAAAATGAACTCCATCCCAACCCAAGCCAGGAAAACTCCAAAATTCAGAGCAAGCAAACCCAGGAATTCCTCATTTCCCCCTTGTCCATCTGCTGTCTGCTGGAACYGGAATCTTCTCTTCTTCCCAGGAGTTTTCCCAGCAGATTCCTGGCCATTCCYGAAGCTCTGTGCTGAATTTCTGCGGCGCCGAGGTTCTCGTCTTGCCAACGCCGACCCCGTCACAGGATTTTGCTTTCCAAACTCACAGAAGCTGACTCCGAATGGAAGTTTTTTCATGAGCTGAGGTACCTCTCTCATGGTGTCACACTGAGATCACAGCTCAAGGAATAAACCTTTCAGGGAGCGACCACACACAGGAGAAGGAGAGGATTTTCCAGCTCCATTCCCGGAGCTTGTTCCCATCTGGGGACGAGTTCCATCAGGAATTATTTAATCTGAACCAAGTACAAGCTGCTCAGGCCAAGGAGAAACATGAAACCCATAAATCCAATCTCTTTTCCAAGCAAACACACAGCCATAATAACCAGATTCCCACTGGGAAATGTTCCCAAAACTCTCACCCGATATTCGTCCTCCCTCCACAAATTAAATCGGATTTCAACGGGAACAGCATGTGAGGCCAAGTTTGCTTCAGAGGGTTTCCAAACAGATGGGAATCAACATTTCCCAAGCCATCTCCTGCCTTCCAGTTTGCGTTTTCTCTGCAATTCCCAGAACTGGAGGGCAGAAATTCCCTCTGAGCCCATCCCTGTGGGAAGCAGCTGGAGAGRGAACACTATCAAAGCCACCCATCAGCAGAACAACCACAAATGGACCAGCAGAGTAAATTTTAACCACCACCAACCTTAATTCCACAGGCCAAGAATCTCCCAGAGGAAGGAACAAACCAGAATTTCCATAGGATGAGATTTTACCTCTCTYTGGGTATTTGCAGGTGCTGCATCTCACACGGACACCTGGGAGCAGGGAAGCTCCCGCGCCAGGATCGGGAATCACAACTCACCTCTGCAAAGCTCAGCTCTTCAGCCTGGCCAGGGATGGGATCCAGGYTGGAAGGGGCTTGGAGCAACCTGGGATAGTGGGAGATGTCCCTGTCCATGGCAGGGGGTGACTCTGGATGGGATTTGAGGTCCCTCCCCACCCAAACAGTCTGGGAATCTGGGAAGGGCTGCRTACAAGGAGCTCCGGTGTGACCTTTCCAAAGGAAATGCTGGAAATGCTGTCTAAGGAAATGCCAAGATGAGGGAAACAATGGGCTGGAGATATCGGGGGGAGYCTCACCTTCCTCTTCCAGGCAGYTTTGTTTGGGGAGTGGCTGCACCTYGGATTTRGGACCRGGACACCRCAGCAGTGACYRAGCTCTGAGCTGGGGCWGCAGCGACACTGSAWRGMA